CCTTATAGGTACATGCCCAAAATATTTGATCAATATTCCGGTGCAGATGGATTTTTATTTGTTCAGGACAATACCATTCTTAATTACTGGAATCTTCTACAGGCAGACAAAACTAAATTGTGGATTACAAATGAGGTGACATGACTTTTATTAACCCCTTTCGGCATTTCTTTACACACGTATAAACCTTCCATAAAAGGAAAATAGATACAAAATTCAAATTCAAATCGTTGTAGTATCACTTTCTCCCTCACAATTCAATGGGATTCAGGTATCCAAGTCTTGGAGTACAGTATCAACAAACGACAACTCAGATTGGTTTTCAAAGCAAGCAGGCATGGTAAAGAAGGTTGTTAGTATGATGCCAGTTCACTTCCAAGTCAGTTATAAGAACAGTGTAACCAGTCACAAGAGCATCACAATATGCAGTTCTGAGGTGTTCTACATTCCTCGTCGGTTTGTAGCTGACTTCGTTGATCTTGTTAATCTAGTCGGAAACCTAGAAATTCATCACAAGGTTGCCATTCCAATGTTCTTTCAAGCAATAGATTCACCTCAGAACTTTGACTCAGTGCTCAGTACAATGATCTATGAGGAACAACCACCTTCTACTAATTCTTCATCCTTATATTCGGCTAAAGTACCTGCGGTTCACCCATGCAATGTGACTAGCGAACAAGAGTTCATTAAACTAATACGAGTAATGGCAGAAGGTGACCCTCTTCTAATGGAGTTAGTTTGAAGGTAACTTCATCTCTTTTGGTACTAAAATTTAAAATACCATGAAAAGGGAGTAACAAAGAAACATGTACCATTTCGTTAACTGTCATACAGAACTCTTTTTTCGTTTTTTTTTTTATTTTTTTATTTTTTTATTTATTTTTGGGTTTTCATTTTCTGTAGGTTTATGTTTTACCATTCATTACTGATTGAAGATCCTCTCCCCCCCCCCCCAAAAAAAAAAAAGAAAAAAAGAAAGATGTATTCATCCATCTCTTTTTGCTCATCAATAAATGAAATTAGAATTGTGTATTCTACAATCCGACATTGACACTGTAGATTGATTCAAATTCTTGAAACTGGTACATTTGGATTTTTGTTAAAATGTTTATGTCTCAAACCTATTATCATCTTGGAAATATTAAACTCCCGCAAACTTAGCGGTACAGATGGCTAACTGTCCAACCTTTTATGTTTGGCTTTCAAAACCAAAGAGTATCTTGGAATTATGAAATGCTGTGCTTGTTTTGCTAGAAATTGAAATGCACTGAAATTCTGACAAAACATAAAATACTTAAATTTCATCTTGGTGAGTCGGGGTGGACATCATGAAAATAAAACATTCAAACTTTTTTTTTAAGATTTCTTGTTTCTTAAAAATGAAAGTTAAAAAGAGCTTACATGTAATTATTTGGGAATTTTTGAAGATTATATTAGAGAAAGCAGGAGGTATGATTCTCAGAACACATTACTAGTAAGAGTTAGCTCAGCAAGATTGTATTAGTTAGATAGTCGACGTCTCTTACTAATTCAGGGGAAAGGTAGGCAGTAGAGGATTAAGGATATTTCTTTTGCAACTCGTTGTTACAAAAATGCCAAATTGTAATATCAGTCGGGGCAATGAGTAAGATTGTGCGATTTCACTCATGACCATCCTTCTGTGAGGGAAGTGTCACGACCCGAAATCACTAACCGTACTGTCATCAGATTAAGAACCTGATAGTAATCAATACTGTTTCTGTTATTGTAGCATTTGAGAGTTGTCAATGCATGGGAACTGAGAGTTAACAGATGATGTGGAGAATGCGTTTGACAAATTGTGAAAACATGTATTTATAGGAATAGGACTTAAAAATCTGCAGGTAGCAGTACAGATACATATCCCCAACGGATTGAACTACAGTGGGGAACTGGTTAAAGAATTCACATTAGACACTAGACGGTTCCTAGAGGCTTTGCCTATGCTCCTTTTGGAAGGAGGAGCTGGAGGAAGGGAAGGGGGAGGGAGGAGCTCAAGTAAATCGTAGTGTTACTGATATTTTCAAATTAATTTACAGTGTTCTCAACAATGAGTATGAGTTTACCGATCGATTCCCTCAATTTTGTCTTCAACTTCTTGGTACAACTCCTTCAACTTCTCAATGTTCTCCTCTGCAGTGTCCCAGTAACCACGTCCGTTGGCCTCAAGGAATGTCTGTACCAGCTTCCTGAAGGAGTTTGGATTTGTTTTCATGAGCCTTTCCAACATCTCCTTGTCTTGAATGAAAGTTGTGTTGGCCTCTTCGTACACCCAGTTGTCAACTTGGCCAGAAGTTGCACTCCACCCAACTGTGTTAGTCAGCCTTTTCTCAATTTCACGAACACCCTCGTATCCGCTAGACAACATTCCCTCGTACCACTTAGGGTTCAACAACTTGGTCCTTGCATCAAGACGTACGGTCTCAGAGAGCGTGCGAACCTGCATTGCAACACGAGCTTGTTAATTAGGAACTTTGTATTTTTTGTGTATTCCGAGCTTCTGCGGTATAATCTGCTAAATCATTCCCCAGCTAAAAGTCTGAACTTAGAGTTGGAATAATCTAGTACACGTAGTGTGTCGATTCTCACCTGGGCATTAGCTGTGGTGGTGTCAGCAATGTAAGCACTGGGTTTCTTTCCATCCTTCCTTAGGCTTTGCACCAGATTGGTCGGATCCGAGTCAAAGTAGTGACTCACATCAGTGAGTGAGATCTCCGACGAGTCAAGGTTTTGGAATGTTGCCTCAGCTGTGCTCAGAGCCATCTCAAAAACTTTCCTGTTCTCAGCCATGCCTACACCAGGGGCATCAGAATCAAAAGCAAATGACTTCCTGCTTAGATACATGTCTTGCAGCTGCTTCTCATCATTCCACGAGGAGTTCTCCACAGCAAGATTTATATTGGAGGAATAGGATCCCGAGGCATTGGAGAAGATACGAGTTGCAGCTTCACGAACCCCTATTCCTAGGGTTTCTGCTTGCTCCAGTGCGTGCTTCCTGATAAAGTTTTGCTCCACTGGCTCGTCTAGTTCAGCTACCATCTTCACTGCCCGGTCGAGCAGATTCATCTGCAGACAATAAGATTTCGGTGAAGAATCGTAAGTAACTATTTTATATACTGTGAGTGCCATATGTTTCTAACATGTACCACAAGTAATGGGAAGCAGAGAGAGGGACAATACCTGATTGATGAACAGGTCTCTGAAGACGCCTGAGCAGTTGACAACAACATCAATCCTCGGTCTTCCAAGCTCTTCAAGAGGTACTATCTCCACCCGGTTGACCCGTCCGAAGGCATCAGCAACTGGTAATACACCCACCATCCACAAAACCTGAGCCAAGGACTCACCATAAGTCTTGATATTGTCTGTACCCCACAAAACGAGTGCTACAGTCTCGGGATACTTTCCCCCGTTATCGATCTTCTGCCTCTCTATCAGCCTCTCCACCACAATTTTTGCACTCTGCATTGCTGCTGTTGTGGGAATAGATTGTGGATCTAGTGCATGAATATTCTTTCCTGTTGGCAACACTTTCGGGTTTCTTATTGGGTCACCACCGGGACCTGGCTCTACATATTTACCCTCCAATGCTTGTTTTAAACTCCCTATCTCATTGTCAGCCACAATTAGCTTCAAGCATTCTGCCAAGAACACGAACAACGTTCTGAGCTTCTCCCTATCAGCCCTGTAAAATTTTGTGTTTGACAAGTACTGCACCCAAGGTTCGTTTATTCCGAACCCAAGGATTGAGGTCAGTTTATCAGCAACGTCAACTACCTGGCCCTTGCTATTCGTCGTACGCTCCACAAATGCATAAATTGCTCCCCGTGATGTGTCTGTTATTTGCCGAAGAAGCTCTACATCCTTCAATATCCCCTTATCGCTGCTTCTGTATATATCCTCTATGTCTCTTCCGGCTGTCTCAGCTAATATAGATGGGAGGGAAGAAATCCCTTCCTCTGGACGGTCAAGTGCAGCAATGTTAACCAGAGTTGCAACTGCTTCCATGGCTGTTGGAGGCTCACCAATGACGTGAAGCCCACAAGGTAACAGGCGAGACTCAATCTCCATGATTTTGGAATACACCTTTCCAACCACAAGATCTCGTTCTTTTGCTGAGATTTCCATTCCTTCTTCAGGTAGGTCTACGTCCTTGTCAAGATTGCACTGCTTGGCTGTGCTGATTATTGAGCTAACGATCTGTGACCCGCGGCCTGTGTCTCTCAGGGATTGGTAGGAGGAGATGAGCTCACTCAACTGCTTAAGACCTTTATAAAGTCCAGCATTTTCTGCAGGAGGAGTCAGATAGCTGATGGTGTTGGCATAGCTCCGACGTTTAGCTATCGTAGCTTCAGATGGGTTGTTAGCAGCATAGTAATAGACATTGGGAATGTTCCCAATCAGACTGTCCGGGAAGCAGGCATCACTCATTCCCACCTGTTTTCCAGGCATGAATTCGAGTGAACCATGTGTACCGAAATGTAGAACAGCATCAGCTTGGAAAATCTTTTCAACAAATGAATAGTATGCTGCAAAGCCGTGATGTGGGCTAGCAGATTTGGAGAACAGCAGCCTCATCGGATCACCCTCATAGCCAAATGTGGGCTGAACCCCGATGAAGACATTTCCGTACTGTTTTCCATATACCAATAGATTCTCTCCATCGGAGTTGAGGTTACCAGGAGGTTTTCCCCAGTTTTCCTCCAACGCAGTGGCATATGGAGTCAGACTTTGATATTCACGGACCCCCATCTTGTAAGCGACATTCAGATTTGGGCTGCTGAATTGAGCTTCTTTGTCATGAATTACATCCTCAATCAAGGCATCTGAAGTCTCTGGAAGGTTCTCAACGTTGTAACCATCTCTCTTGAGTTCTTGCAGAACAGCGAAGATTGAGGAGAAAACATTGAGGTAGGCAGCTGTTCCAACATTTCCTTTGTCTGGAGGGAAACTGAAGACTGTGATAGCTACCTTCTTTTCCGCCTGCATCAACGAACAAAGTTTATTCAGCGAATAATCACAGGGTGAAGACATCATGCTTAAGAAATACATTTTACTCGTGAACTGTTGATGATATCATAGCATGGAGGGGAAGAGGAATCATCCACGACCGCATCAGAGTATTAAAGAACCCGGCCTATATGGCATTCTACCAGCCAAAGTTAAAGGTACTTTAATTTTTTTTCATCCTCGTTGTGATCAAATTTCTATCTTAGATTCTTAAGCAATGACTAACACAAAGCATGAAACTCAAGGCGTATTCAAGGTTTTCAAGTTCATAATAATTCTTGATATGCCTGCTTAACACCCCCAACCCTCCCCCTGGGAGCCGAAGAAGTGCGGATTCATGAAATAAGTTCCTTTCTTTTGTAGGCATTTCTAAAGATATATGCAATTATAAAAGGTCGTACCCAGTGCACAAGGCTCCCGCTTTACGCAGGGTCTGGGAGAGGTGAATGTCGGCTAGCCTTACCCCCATTTATGGAGAGGTGCAATTATAATATTGTATATTGAAAATAGGCATGAAAGTTCTCTCTTTCAGTTTCATGTCAGGTGCTCGAAGCGACTTCCTTTGTTTTACGAAGAAATAATAAAACGTAAAAGTACATACCTTTGTCTTCCTTTTCAGTTCACCCCATCTGATTGCCCTGGTGCAGAGCTGTTCTACCCTCTTGTGAAGAGCATGTGATTTCCCTGCAATCACATTACAATATTCAGCAACACTTTGTAAATTTCGACTATAGCGGTTCACGCGAAGAGGAACAGAGACAACCAGAACAGCAAGGAAAGTGGAAACAAGTAGGAGTTAACTGTCTAAGCAATAAGGTAGGTAAATAACTTTGGTTCACTCATTCAGTTAAAGCACGGAAAGATTAATTTTTTCGGTTTAGCGTTCCAAACAAAAAGCCGTTTATCTTTCCGGCTTTCTCTTTAGTAGTCATTCCAAAGTGCTAATTGAAGACTGGTTATAAATTATGGACATCGTAAGAGAATGAAGCTTTACTGACCTGTTCTAGGATCCCGGCCAGCGAAAACAATGGGCTCCATGCCTCCGTCCAGCTCTGGGAGGGCCACCTGCAAGGCCACCTGAATTGGGTGCAAACCCAAAGTGCTATTCAACCACTCCTCGGTTGTTTGGAACACTAAAGGCACCGCGACAATGTATGGAACGTCGAGCTTCATCAGAGCTTCAACGGCCCGTGGATGATCCTGTCTTGCTGGCCCTCCAACAAGGGCAAAACCAGTAAGCGAAATTGCAGAATGGATAAATGGTTTCTTAGTAACAGGATCAATCAGAAACCTCTCAACCGGCCCTGAAAAGTCAAGCCCACCAGCAAAAATCGGTATCACCTTCGCCCCTCTTGCCTCCAGTTCCATGATCACAGCCACATAATGACTCTCATCTCCGGTAACAATGTGACTCCTCTGCAGAATCAACCCGACCACAGGCGCATTCGGGCTCTTAAGCTTCTCATTGGCATCCTTCCTAGTTCCATACCAATTCAAGTACTCCTTCACATCATCATACATACAAGGTGCCAAAGGGTGCCAAATTCCGGTATCCAAAAACAAAACCGGGTCTGAATACGGAATCTTCTCCCCTTTTAGAGCCGGAACATAAGACCCGGATATCATCTTAACAAAATTCTGCAAGTTATCCGGCGACCCTCCAAGCCAGAACTGCAAACTGAGAATGTAAAGCCTAGCATCCTGCGCCTTATCACTCGGCAAGTACTTCAACACCTTAGGCAAAGTCCTCACAAGCTTGAGCATGCTGTCAGCAAACCCGGCGGACTGCTTCTTCCTCTTGAATAGCTGGAAGAATGGGCTTTTCGATTGGCCGAGCTGAGACATGCTGAAAGATCCCAACTTGTTGAGCCTCATGACCTCCGGCATTGACGGAAACACCAACACTGCATCCATCCTGTCTCTCTGCTTCTCCACAGCCTCCTTCACTTTGATGGCAAGCTCCTCCACAAAAATTAACGACCCAATGAAAATGTTGGCGTCCTCAAGGTCTTGGCAGAACATTTTATAGGTGTCGGCGTCACGAAGCTCTTCGACTAGATAACCCACAACTTGGAAGGAGGCGTAGCGGTTGCCGGCGTTGAGGGACTGGACTGCAGCTGTGAGGGAGGATTGGTACTGAGCCTCCAGGACCACATAGACAATTTTGACAGTGGGGAGGCCCTGCTTGTTTTCAGGGACGATGCGGCGGACTTCCTGGGTGGTTTGGGTGAAGAGGCCATTGCCCATGGCACATTTCACTTTGAGGGAGGACTTAGAGCCCAAATTGGTGATATTTTTGGGGAGGAAGGAGTGGAGAAAGTATTGCTTTCTGGAGAGGGAAGAAAGTTGGTCTGCTTTTGTGTTGGGTAAGGTGAAAGGTGAAGATACCAAAGAAGCCATTGCCAATCAGCTTCTCTCCACCACCTACAGCAGAGACGACTCCTCTGTTTCAAAATTGAGGAGTGAGAAAGTGGATTTAGAGAGAGAGAGAGAGAGAGAGAGAGAGAGAGAGAGAGAGAGAGAGAGAGAGAGAGAAGCAGAGAGCTCTCTTTCTTTTTCTTTTGGTTCTGGAGAAGATTGGAGTCTTATAGTTTGTGTGGAGAAGAGAGGGAGGAGAGCAGAACTACAATTGGTGGGGGGAGTGAGGAAGAAACAGTTGGTTTTCATGGCCAGTGGTGGAAGTTGGGGACACGTGGCTTAATGGGTAGTCAGGGAATTATGAGGGAAGTTATTTTATGAGGTAGAGTTTCAATTTGGTCTACAATTTTTGGAGTGAGACTAGGAGTACAGAGAGAGAGAGAATAAAGAAGTGGGCAATAAGAGTGGTAATCTAATCTGTTGGGGACATTGTGATGGAGTTTGCTGCATTCTGATTGGCTGGAATAGATTTCTTATAAGGAGGCCTGAGAGAGACTGGATGATGAGAGAGAGAGAGAGAGAGAGAGAGAGAGAGAGAGAGAGAGAGAGAGAGAATCCTTAATTTCATTTTATTGTAAAAAAAAATAGTCTTTTTAGAAAATTTGTGTCCTTTTTAGTAAAAAAGGGGAGGATATTTTTTGTGTGAAATCCCTGGGACCAAGTATCGGAAGCATAAACTCCGAGAGAGAGAGAGAGAGAGAGAGAGAGAGAGAGTGTGTGTGTGTGTGTGTGTGACTCTTTGTGTCTGTGTTCACGGTTAAATGAGAGCCAGTTATAATCAACTGGAGAAGGCAATGACACATGACCCGCTTGGATGCAGGTCCTGCTTATACTCCGGTGTATCTTATACCGAGATTTTTGCATGATAGTTCTTGGATGAAGATTGAGGATGAGCCTTGACGCAATGAAAATGTTTCTTCTTTGGTTTGAGTTATGAAAACAGCCGCTTTGCAAAGCAAGAGTAAAGCTGCATACGATAGACGTTTTCCCTGACCCTCGCAAAGTGGCGAGCCTTGTTGGTTTGGGGTCGTCCTTTAGTTCTTGGACAGATTCAATGGCCAAAGAAACAAATGTATAGAATACACCGGAGCATAGTTTAATTTTTGTGTAGAGCTCAGTTAAAATTCCGAATGTGAGTGTTTTCGAATGACCTCAAATTGAGTTTTCCATAAAGGCATGTCATATCAATTTAATTTCGTTGGCTTAGCTCAATTGGTTAGAATAGTGTGCATTTAGTATATTTGGAGAAATGATAACTACATATTCTCTTTCTCCCCTCAAAACCTTTTATAATCTTGTTTGTTGTTTATGTTTGAGCTATTCAATCGAAAATCTAGAAATAAAAAACCATGTATGAGGAAAAAGATAAAAAGAGCTTGATCATTTCCTATATTTGAGTGTACAATGATAATCTAGAAGCATGAATAGCAATTATGGAAAAGAAAAAGTGATTTAACAAAAAACGAGTACACTTACCTTCTCCCATGAGACAATAACACCACAAAATGATATTTTCCACGAGACAATAACACCACAAAATGATATTATCCATTCATTCATGTTATTTTCCGTCATCTCTATTCTCTAATATGCATCTTCACGATTGTGAAATCGATGGCTCTAATTTTCATTCAGGTTTCCTTGCTTTTTAGTGGCACCGATTGGACCTATACTTTTCCCCCGCATACTTTGGGATATTGTCTGTCCGGGATGAACACTTGCACTGCAGATTTCAGTTCTATATTCTTCGTCTAACGAGGCCAATCACCGCGCCAAGTTTCTAATGGTACCAAAGTCAATCGACAAGTAAAACACTCCTTCTGTATTTTAACCATTCTGCAATGCTTGTAGCAATTAGTGAGTATCCGACAGTTGCTAATTGCTTCAAATATGAGAAAATTAAAACTTCGAAGGTGTATAACAAAATAAATGCAGAACCATTCGACATATAAAATAACCAAAATTGACGAACGATTCTACCTTTTAGAAACCTTTCTCTAGGGTAACAATGCCAACACAATACAAGGATAGAACGAAGCTGCAAATCAGTAACACATTCCCCAAGGAGTTGAAGGACGACGAAACTAGTCAATCTCCATACCGGAGGTGGCTTCATCTAAAATGGCCTGAAGCTCCCTCGCTCGTTTTCTATCCAGTGCAACACAATCCTGCAACCACAGAGAGTATTCCTTGTAAGAATCTGGATCATGACTTAACTGGTTTTTTTCATAGGCCATCTCTTATTAAACATATCTAAGTTAATTATTACTCCGCTCCACTAGCATCTTTCTGCATATTTTACAAACCGGAGCAACTATATAAATAAAGAAGTAATAATTCACCAAGATAGTTTTCAGGACGAGGAATCAACTTTCAGAACTGCTCTACATTTTGATTAAGTTGCAAGCCATTTGAAAAGTAGGACCTTTTCCCCGCAAAGTTCCACTAATTCAAAGGTTACCAAGTTTCAGAACATTGGTTCAAATAGAAAAAGGGTTGAAAATTTGATGTCAAAACCAATTTTTAATCCTTGGATGTAACATGAACATGACAGTCCCTTCACACATACCGATATACGTTTTCTTTACTTTCGGTTGTCATGGTTGAGCAAATGGATCACAGGAACAGATTCTGGAATTGTAATTGTAACCATCCTACAAAGTTTGTGTGGGGTACCATCAAAATAATAGCTTGGGGGTGAACACTAAGTAAGTGACCTAGATAGTAAAGATGAGGATGCCAAATCATGACATACATTCTGTTTTAGTTAGCCAATTATAGTGTGCCATGTGTACAAAGTTTGTTTGATCTGTTAGAAAGATTATTGTACATAGCTTTGGCTATATATACAACAACTGATGTAATTATTTATTCATTTCAATGAAACAATAAACATTCAGAAATATAGTGTTCTTGGCTTCCTATATGGTTTCATCGACAACCGCCTCATAGCCTTTCTCGATCCTTCTCTCTTCCGCTCTGCTTCTCTGATTTATGTACAATTCGATCGATTTATTCGTTGTTTTTGTACTCTGATCATCGATCTTGACCTGTATTCTTGATCTTTAATGGTGTCTCCATCTGCGTCTTTTTCCCCTTTTGAGTCGGTGCCAATTCCGAATCCCAATTCCTCTTCAAACCTTAATTCCTCTCAACCTTATACCTTTCTCACGATCCAAAACATTGGCAGCATGGTGCCTATCAAGCTTAAACAATCCAATTATCTACCATGGCGAGCTTTCTTTGCCCCAACTCTTCGGCGATATAGGCTTCTTGGTATCGTCGATGGCACATAACCTTGTCCAGCGCCATTTCTGCCCGATCGCTCTTTGAATTCGGCATTCAAAATTTGGTACGAGAAAGATAAAAACCTCCTGATTTGGTTCAATTTCACATTGTCTGAGGAGGTAATTCCATTCACGGTTGGAGTTTCGTCTTCTCACGATCTCTAGCTCAAACTCAAGCAAAGATTCGGAGGTGTTTCTGATGCACACATTCATTAGCTTCAGTCACGACTTCAAAGCATTCAAAAAGGTTCACAATCCATGTCTGACTACTTGCAAGAACTTAAAGAGATCTCCAACTCTCTCACTACCGCTGAAGCCTTAATTTCTGATCGTGATCTGATTACAACCACTCTTGCCGGTCTTCCTGATGATTTTGAGTCTTTCACCGATTCCATCATGCTCAGGTTATCCTCCACTTCTTTGGATGAATTGCATGGGTTGTTACTCACCAAGGAGCTCTTTATGAATCGTCGCATGAAAGTTGCCTCATCCAGTAATGTTGAACCTTTTCATGCTCTATTTGTCCAAGCTCAACCACCGCTCATTCCCACACCGCCTCAGGTGTATGCAATATAGAATCCACCCTTTCAAAACTCTTTTCGCTACAATTT